GGTCCGTCTCAAGACCTATCTCTTTGCCACTGTAATCCTTTCCCTCCCCATCCCCCTTGGCTCCCACCTCCAGCTCAGTTGCCAAGCTTCGGTGAAAGGCACTATATAAATGTAAATTAGTATTGAATTGTGTAACATTTGTGTTCAATGGATTACTTCTGTCTTACTTACGGTCTGTAACTAAACGTATTTTATCCAATGCCTTGGGACATCCTCCTGACGTGAAAGGTGCTATAGAAATGTAATTTGTTGTTGTTATTTTGTTTTAATTGGCAAATGCTTTTGTTAAATTGTAAAACTTTCATCTTCTGAAAGAGACTTAGTGTAGCAGGAGATTAAGCATACTAATTATAAAGGATTAATTGATAAGGCACGCTACATAAATAGGCGAATACTACAAAGATGGCATTCTAGTTCACAGCAGGCAAGGAATGCTGATATGAATTGTGTACAAGCTCAAAAACAAGTGAAGATTTGAACACCTTTTCAGATTATAACATCCTACATTAATGGCTGATTGGATCAAACTGCAGTATTGAAGAATCAATCCATCATTATTTACTATCCTCCAGCATTGCACACCAATATAAAAATTGGGAGTGGGGAGGATATGTTTTCTTCAGCTGCCAGTGAATTACAGGCATCAAGGTTACTGTTCTAAGAAGAAAAATGTGAGAAGGAAATCTGTTCTACAGATTAAAATAATAGGGGTTGATATGTGAGCACAATATTCATTATAAACGAATACAATGAGGTTTGAGCACATTTGCAATACTTATTAATAAATAAACACTGTTGTCTGAGATATAGTAACAATATTGGCAGCAGTGAGTGGTGCATGCAATACTCATAGTGCATTGTGTAATCAGAACTTGTGATCAACACTTCCGATTGTTATTCAGTTCTTGTTAGATGGGGGAGTCTTGATTTTGTTCCATTATTTTACTGGGCTTTATTAATAATTATTAATAATGATGCTTACATTTGATATAGCGCTTTTCACATCAGGAGGATGTCTCAAAGCACTTCACAGGATATCCAGTAAAGTGTAGTGGCTGTGTATTTTGTGAGCCAACAAAATGAAAAAAAATTGGAAAGAAACTGGAAGAGGAAAATGGATTTGTATTTGAGAGCAATAAGGAACATATTTTAATCCATTTTAAAAAAATGAGTAAAGCTCGAGTAGCTATTATGACCACACTAAATTTGTCTGACTGCCCACAATAACTTTGCTTTGCTTTGAACAATTTGAACAGACTACAGCTGAATTTTATTTACAAATCTCAGAAGCAATCTAAATGTGACAGTCAGGACCCCAAGCCAACTCAAACTAGACCTATTTATTTTCTGAGGTCTGTCTGCCACATGTTTTTTATAATTTTTGTTTTGGTACAACTATTGTTCCCGTGGTGTGTGATGATGTCTCACCCATTTCCTGTAGCTGCCTGTGTTGGAGCTGGTCACATTTCTCTACCCTCATCTCTCTCAGTTCAGTTTTCTGGAGTGGGAATCAGATTCTTATCAGCAATTGGCTGCCGCGTTCGCCCACAAATATACAGTCAATTCACTTTACAGTGTGTTCTGTGAAGCGCTTTGGGACGTCCTCCCGACGTGAAAAGCGCTATATCAAATGCAAGGATTATTATTATTCTTGTGTTCGGGCACAGACTGAGCACTTGGAGTGAGTGTTTGAGCCATGTTTGTCTGTCTCTATATGCATGCGTGTGGGAGAGACAGCTTGCACCCTTGATCTAGCCAGATGCTGGTAAGTGCCCAGTTCTGATGGACTGTGATCCATTAACAGTCATAGCTAATTTAAAGTGATTTGATCAGAGACTGGCACAAATCATTGCAGACTAGATTATTGTACAGTCTTTGCTGCTCAGCTTTTGGCGTCTTTCTTGTTTCAGGCGAATGCCCCTGTCAGTGAAGTGAGTGATGATTACAATGTGCATGCACAATACTGTGCCATCTCTGGACATCTTACAACTTTTAAATAGCAGCTTCAGGAAGCTTAACAAGTTGCTTCAGGGATGTGACAGAGTGCATAGAGATGCATTCAGCCCCACCCAGCACTTTAACATCTGTTCCAATGCAATTACTCCCAGCACGTGCACACTTGCCTATAACCATGCACATGCGAGGCAGCGGAAGGGAAGTTTTACAGTTAAACTGTGGTTAGGTTCTGTATCACCACTCCCATTATAATCCCTTGTATTTAATATAGTGCCTGTGATGTTGATTGTCTGAAAGCACATCACAACATTTCTGTAATACGTAGTGTACTGTGTATTTGGGGGTGAACGTGCCAGATAGTTTGTGCATAGCAATGTCCCACAAACAATAGTGAAGTAAATGAACATTTTTTTTTCTGGAGCATTATTGGTCAGGACACTGAGAGAAACTCCCTTCTCTTTTCGAATAGTGTCATGGGTCCTTAATGTCCACCTGAACAGGCCCACTGAGCTTTGGATTAAGATCTCCTGTGAAGGTACCTCTTATAATACAGAGCATCCCCAACACTAGAATGTTAGCCTAGACTTTGAGCTCAGACCTAAACCCAGAGGTTAGAGTTAACTGAACTACGCTGACACCAAATTCATATATTGTCAGCTGTCCTCAATCATTGAACACCTCTTTGGGCAGTAGGAGCAGTGAGGTCTCTCGATTTGAGTACCATATAGTACCATACTCAATTTGAGTACCACCACATTAGAAAACAATCCATAAAGAATATATTACCGTATTGTTAAAATGCATCCCATGCTAATGCATTCTTCGATGCAGTTAATAAAATGTAAATCAGAAAAATCAGGAAAATAGTATCTCTAATATTGCAAACTGTTTCACTATAAGATAAATTTTGTGAAAGCCCTTACCCAGCCTTATTGATAAAATAAAGCAAGTGATTAAATAAATTAAGTATTCACTCAAGTTAATTACGCTGAAAGTTTAAATTTTGTGAGAAGCACAAAATTAACTTAAAATTTAAAAACATGATTGGTGACATCATCCACAGACATGGGGTCAACTTCCACATGTATGCGGATAACACCAAACTCTATCTTTCTGCCTCGACCCTCAACTCCACGGCCACTGCTGTCCTGACAGACTGCCTGTTGGACATCAAGTCCTGGATGAGGGCAAATTTTTCACAGTTGAATGTGAACAAGACTGAGGCCCTCCTGATTGGCTCGCGCCAGCGCCTCTGCACCTCAGGCTCTGGCAGCGTCAACCTCCATGGTTGCACACTTCAACTCACCAAACCAGTCAGGAACCCAGGTGTCGTGTTCGACCCTCAACTGTCTTTTCTCCCCCACATTCAAGCCATGACCTGCACTACCTTCTCTCACCCCCGTAACATTGCCCAACTCCCCCACTACCTCACCCCTCAGGCCGCTGAAACTCTTGTTCATGTCTTCATCACCTTCAGGCTCGATTATACAAATGCCCTGCTTGTCAGCCTTCCCAACTCCTCCCTCCACAGGCTGCAGATAATCCAGAACTCTGCAGCCGCGTCCTCTCCTGCACCAAACTCTGACCCCATCTTCCACACTCTCGCCCGACTCCATTGGCTCCCTATCCCTCAGAGGATCCAGTTCAAGAGCCTGGTCCTCACATCAAAGCCCTCCATGGCCTCGCCCCACCCTACCTCTGTGACCTCCTAACCCCCTACCAACCCGCCCGCTCCCTCCACTCAGCCGGCTCCGGCCGCTCCACGTCCCCCGACTCACCCGCCCCACCATTGCCGGGAGAGCCTTCAGCCACTCTGCCCTCAACCTCTGGAATTCCATCCTCCAGTCACTCTCCCTCGCCCCCTCCTTAGCCTCCTTCAAGTCCCGCCTCAAAACCCTCCTCTTCGACCATGTCATCGGTCACCCCCCTTCCCCCCCACCCCCCGACCCCAGCTCTGGTCTGAAATGCTGTACTCTGTCCAGTGCCTTGGGAAGTCCTCCCGATGTGAAAGGCGCTATACAAATGTAATCTTGTTGTTGTTGATGAAATGTGTGAGAAGTGCAGTTAATTCACTTGCTGGGAACAGCAGGGGTGCGCTGTACCAGTTTATTAGTGCATATCAGCTCATTTATCCAAACCCATTTCCTTACCTACTCTAGATGTCCCCTAATTCTCTTCACTCGCCAAGTACGGTTTGTTATAATTGCGATACCAAATGCAAGGATTATTATTACAGCGACTCTCTATCACCCTCTTAAACACCACAATTATAACGACAATAGTCTTTGCATTTGTGATGAAATATCTTGAAGCAGTTCACAAGATTTATTGTAACATTTTTGTGGGGGTGATCAGTCGGTTGGCTAACACATACGGAAAAACCCATCACAATTGCTTAACAGTATCCAAACCAGACTGAGAGTCCTACGCATGTGTGCCACCTACTCATGTAAGTTTCCATGAGTCTGTAAAGTGTAGTGACTGCCTACTTTGTACGTTCAATTTTGTAAGCGCTCAGAGCCGTCCAGCACGAAGTGCGCTATACAAATGCAATTTGTTGTTGTTGTGCACATCGCAGGCAGTTGGTGATTCTGCATCTACAGCAACTGTTGGGACCAGTTCAGTCCACTCTCACAGCCTTTTTGCGTCAGTAAAAAAAAATAATTCTGGATTCACATTTTTTTTAAAAAAAACCGAAAGCAACATTTATCAAATGTTTCTCCAGTCCGAGCAGAAAGAGAGAGGGGGGGAGAGAGAGTTGCACACTGTAGAGGGGAGGGAACAATCCCTCGAGGTTTAATAGGATGCTTATCACCTGGGCTGTGTGTGCATTGCTGGGGTGTGCAGCGCCACTGCTGTGTGGTGTCTGTCTGGAGAGAGGGAGAGAGGGAGAGACCCACACACTGTGCAGGAGAGGAGGCACTCAGTCAGTCAGTCACAGTCACACAGACAAGTCACTCAGATCACGATCCTGGGCAGAGAGCAGCAGAGAGATCCCCGCTTCAGGCTGTCAGGGGGGGGTCTGGGTCTGGGTGGGGGGGTCTGGGTGGGGGTGGGGGGGTCTGGGGGGTGATGTGTGCTGTATGAACCTCCTGTATCCACAGACACCAGTTGTGTGAGGGGCAGAGTTGAGCTGTGCTGTGCTGTGCTGTGGCTGTGGCTGGAGCCCCGCTGGTCGGCATGAGCTGCTCTCACACCACAGCCCCACTACATACAGCAATGTGAGAGTGCGGGGAGGCTGCTCCTGGGTACCTGCAGATACATACAATATATAATATGTCTGTGTTATTTTAAACAATATGTTTACTGGGTGATGTATGCATTGCCCTATGATCAGACAGACAGACAGACAGCAGCAGTCAGGCTCTGTCTGCCTTTAGCAGCCGCGCCCGTCTCTCTCTCTCTCTCCCTCTCTCACTCTCTGAGCTTTATTTTGCAGTGTTTATTTTCGCTAATCGCAGAAGGGCAGTTTGTGAGGGAATTACATTGTTGTTAATCCTTATCGGGAAATCATTAGGAAGTCCGTGGAGTCGGTGGAGATCGTTTATGTGGGCGAATTGCACAGAAGCCCAAGAAAGTCACTGGTCACCTCAACAGCACTGATCAGTTTCACTGACCAAAGCCACAGGAGCAGGAGGTAAGCAACCAAACACGATCATCATTTTATTCTATTGCTGTGTAACTCGCCCCCACTACTACTTCACATCAGCTTCAGAACTGCAAATGAAGCTTTTTCTGCACTCCTATTGCCCCCAACTCTCCCCCCCCCCCCCCCCCACCCCCACACCACCCCTTCAAAAAAGTTTGGGCATTTGCTGAAAGCCACATGTGAGAGTTTCTGGCTCCATCTGTCCATGTGTTATGTAAACCAACTTAATGCCTTGTTTGTTTGGGAGGCATAAAAGAAACCCATGAGAGTAGTTTTTTAAAAAAAAAAACTGGTGGAGAAACAATGATCTGAATGGAAGAACACAGCGGGTTAAGTGATCCAATAAATAACAATTCTTGCATTTGATATAGCACCTTATCACATCATTGAGACGTCTCAAAGCGCTTCATATATTTTAAAGTGTATTGACTGTATTTTGTGGGCGAATATTGTATTAGTGAAACAAGGCGAGGGAAGGCAACACCCAAGAGATATACAGTATTTTTAGTCGGCTGCATTCAGCATTTGCTTTTGTTTTTATCTTTTGTGTTGTAACATTTTTGCTTTTCCTTGGGAATGACATCAAAGGAGCTCCTTTTTTCATTCGGTTTATTTGACCAGAATGTGATTTGACTGAACGGGTGCAAATTAAGCAACTGAGTTACTTCTGGGTAGATGATTTTTTGCGGGGAGTTTAGTGAGAGGTGAGGCACACTGCATTTCAGTCCAGCAGTTTTCTCCAAACATGGTTTGGCGTTGTGCCAGCAAACCCTAGAACCAGTTATTTTCTTTTCATTGTAAACTTGTTCTCTCTAACGCCACGAAATACAGTCAATCCACAGTATATGCTGTGAAGCATTTCAAGATGTCTTGACAATGTGATACGATGCTATATCAATGCAAAGATTATGTTATTATATCATGCCGCTGAAGGTAACTTTAGAAAATCTCAGTCTCTGTTCGAACCCGGATAAAACGTGAATCCTCTTGTGTGCTTCCATATCACTCAATGCACCAGCAGATTTGGTCTTTTGAACTGCCTGTCTCGTCTGGGCATGGAATGTAGTTGATGAACCAGTATTGCTGATTCAGCATAATATCCTAGTTCCCCCGAGGTGACTGATTCATGGTGCTTTCTCATACCTTCCTCGAGTGGCCATTCTTCAAGTGTGATCCCAGTCATTGAGAGGCACTGGGCTACTCAGTAGGGATAGCGTTTGAGGGGTGGGGTTGGGTGGTGGGGGAAAGATTACAGTAAAGTACAATTTCCTGTCCTCATTCCAGAAAGACAATTCTCTCACTGCTAACTGTCCATCTTGATGTAGGCTTTCCCCACTATAAATATATATTTTTTTAAGAACTGCTAGTACGACAACAAAAATTTCATTTATACAGCGCATTTCATGTCAGGAGTACATACAAGGCAATGGACAGTGGAGGGTTTGCACCCAAGCTGGGTGTTGGATTTGAGAGGGTTGGGTGCTAAGGGGGGTGTAGGGGGAAGATGACTAAAGAGGTCAAAGAGGAAAGTCTCTAGATCACTGGGGCCAACCCTTATGGTCCCCCAGCAAAATACATTTTCTTGATTGAATATTTCTTGATTTCTGCTGTAATTGAAGAAATATTTGATCAAGAAAAAAATGAAAATACACTACCGATCGAACACAGACTTACTCGTGTGAATGTTCGGGGGGGCTGCTTCTTGATGGGACTGCAGGCCATTTCTGGCCCGTGGGCCACAGGTTGACCACCACTGCTCTAGATGGGAAGGGACTCTGGAATGGAGTTTCAGAAAATGGGGGCAGAAAGGCTAAAATTCTGACCACCCTTGATGGGGCCGGCAAGGTGGAAGACATAAAGCAGGCCAATACCTTCCAAATGGAGGGAGCAGGCAGATTGGTAGGATTTAAGACAGTTACAGGGGTAAAGTCTGGCAAGATGTGGAAAGAACAGAACTGGCCGCTCTCAGCATCTCAGGTTGAAATACTATATTGTTTTCTTTTACCCCTCTCTAAACCCTGCAGTACCCCCACTACAAAACCATCTGGAATCAACTAACATAGCCCAAAATTCAAAGTGGGTATTTTTTCAATATATCAGATGTGTGGCTCAGTACAACACCACTGAGCCTGGGGGGAAATTTTATTAAAATAATGGTTTCTCTTTAATATTGTTTTATTTCCTGGCTTAATACTTTTCTAGCAGAGCTTGCATGACATTTGCAGTACTCTATGTTAACAGTCTTATCTGATTATACAAAATCAATTGGATTCGCATAGGACACATTATTATACAGAAAAGGCCTTTTCTTTAGAATCTCTTATGATTTCAATGTCCTGCTTAACAGAATGTTGCTTTATTTTTTAAAAAAGAATAACAGCTTTATTTATTTACTAAGGAGTTTGTGAGCATGCCTGGGTCCAGAAATAGCATTTGTGATACATGTGCATGAAACATAGAAATCTACAGTGTAGAACAACAACAAAAAATTACATTTATGTAGCGCCTTTCATGTCAGAAGGACGTCCCAAGGCGCTGGCGGAGGGAACGAACAGGATGGTAGGGGGTTAGGAGGTCAGGGAGGTAGGGGGGAGCAAGACCATGGAGGGCTTTGAAGGTGAGGACCAGTATCTTGAACTGTATCCTCTGTGTGATGGGAAGCCAGTGGAGTTGGGCAAGATGGGGGTGATAGGGTCACAGAGCCTAGTGCAGGAGAGGACACGGGCTGCAGCATTCTGGATGATCTGCAGCCTGTGGAGGGAGGAGTTGAGGAGGCCGACAAGCAGTGGGTTTGCATAGTCGAACCTCGATGTAATGAAGGCATGTATGAAGGTTTCAGCGGCCTGCAGTGTTAAAGAGTGTCGGAGCCGGGCGACATTGCAGAGGTGGGGGAAGGCAGAGCGGGTAATGGTGTGAATGTGGGGTAGAAAGGATAGTTGAGCGTCGAACAAGACCCCAAGGTTCTGGATTGTCTAAGCAAGGTTGAGTGTGCAACCATGGATGGTGATGCTGTCAGCGCCTGAGGTGAGTAAGTTTTGATGGGAGCCAATCAGGAGAGCCTCGGTCTTGTTGATGTTCAACTGAAGAAAGTTAGCTCTCTTCCAGGACGATGTCAGGACAGCAGTGGTCCTGGAGTCAAGGGTGGAGGCAGAGAGGTAGAGTTGGGTGTCATCCAAATACATGTGGAAGTTGACCCCATGTCTGCAGATGATGTCACCAAGGGGGAGCATATAGATATTGAAGAGGAGGGGACCAAGGACAGAGCCCTGAGGAACGCCAAACGACATGGTCCGGGGGCTAGAGGAGAAGCCATTTGAGGAGATGAAGTGCAGGTGGTGTGAGAGGTACGATCTGAACCAATCAAGGACAGCGCCATGGAGGTTGAGGTGAGAGGAGAGGCGGTGGAGGAGGATAGAATGGTCGACGGTGTGGAAAGCAGCAGAGAGGTCAAGGAGGACGAGGAGGCAGAGGGAGCCCTGGTCGCAGATGGACAGAATGTCATTTGTCACTTTGACCAGGGTGGTTTCTGTGCTGTGAGTGGCACGGAAGCCCGATTGGAGGAGTTCAAGAAGGGAGTGGTGGGAGAGGAAAGAGTGAGGCTGAGAAGAAACAACTCGTTCCAGGACCTTGGAGAGGAAGGGAGTCCTGTAGCTCAGTGGCTAGAGTCCTGAGTTCAATTCCAGGCAGGGCGAAACCTTGGGCAAGTTTCCTTACTCCACACACCTAATAATAATCCCTCCAAAACCAAAATACAATAATAAATTGGTCATTTTCAATCTACGACTGTTTGTGGGACATTGCTGTGCGCAACTGGCTGCCGCGTTCGCCCACAAATATACAGTCAATTCACTTCACAGTGTGTTCTGTGAAGCGCTTTGGGATGTCCTCCCAACGTGAAAAGCACTATATCAAATGCAAGGATTATTATTAAGCGGAGGTTGGAGATGGGGTGGTAGTTTGGGAGTAGGAAAGGGTCCAGGGAGGGTTTTTTTTAAGGATAGGAGTGATGACAGCGGTTTTTAACGGGGCGGGAACAATACCAGCGGACAGGGAAAGGTTTATGATGTCAGTGAGTAGAGGGGCAAGGAAGTGGAACTGGGAGGTAAGGAGGGGGGGTAGGGATGGGATTCAGAGAGCAGGTGGTGGGCTTCATACGGATTGTGGTGGTGAGAGAGGAGGCCATTTGGCCCATTGAGTTTGGGCCGGCTCACAGAGCAAGGATATAGCTTCAATCCCACCTCCGCCTTTACCCCACATGCCTTTCAGCCCCTTTCTTTCATGCCTGTCTACTACCCTCTTGAAAGCTACAATGGACTCTATCTCTACCACCCTACTCAGCAGGGCATTCCACATCCCAACAACTTTCTGGGTGAAAAAAATCCCAAGTTATCCTTTTGCGATTCCTGTGGCTATCTTATAACTGTGCCCACAAGGAAAGGACTCCCCTATAAATGGAAATAACTTCTCCCTATTTACTGTCAAAACCCCTCATCATTTTGTACACTTCTACTAGCTTCTGCTTAATCCCTTCTAAGTCCCTGCTCAACCTTCCCTGCTCCAATGAAAACAGACTCAGCTTCTGCAGAGCTCTCATCATAACTGTAAGGAGTTATTCCGTGCAATGTTATTGCAAGAATTTCTAATAAGTATGATTTTGGAGAAAAGATGCTGACTCTCAATCTATTGCACTATGTGATACTGTGTCTCAATTGTTAATAATATGATAATAATAATATGAAAGTGAGAGATGGCTAGGAAGCAAAAAANTTAGGGGGTAATGTTTTACAAAGTGTTAGTTACCATCTGTGGAGCATTATTCCAATAGGTTTTTAATTATTTCTAGTTATTGCCTAGAATGTTACTATCTTGATGATTTGTGTTTGATGCAGTTCAGGTAGTTTATTATTTTAAAAAAATGCATTTTGATGGATTAAAAGTAATTTTCAGAATCTAGAAATATACCAACAAGTGAAAAAAGCAGCAGGAAT